TAATTAATGAATTCTTAAATTATACATTTTTTAATTGTTTAAACATGTTATTTTAATATCAGAACCAATAAACCAGAATTTCCACTAATTGTAGTCTTATATGTTTATTTCACTTATTGTTTTTGATTGGTTATTGCCAGCATAGGTGAGTTCCTCAAAGCAATTACGGTAAGTGGATTCTGCTATATATAAACATGATTGCCTAATGAAAAATATTTAGACAGGAAAGATCCTGGATAGAAATTGGATATATATGTTTTAACCAGTAAATTATCAATAAACATTTATTTTGATTTCTGACAGAACTCTTAGTTTTATCCTTAGTTTAAAACTTTATCATGTCACTTATTGTTAATTGTTATTGTTAAACAAATGTTGTTATAAATTTAGCATATATTTAATTAATACTGATATATATTTCAAACTGCTCTATATTACAGAAATAATCCAAATCATAATTTAATACTAAGATTAAATTTATTTGAACTTGAAACTCATATTTCAATATAAGTCCTATAGGACTCATGTTGAAATAAGAGTATTAAATTTTTATATTTGTTGTACCAGGTATATTGTACTTTTTAAACCTAATTGTTTTAATAATACAATTCTATTACTTTATTTCATTCATAAAAGTTTCAATGAAAAAAATTGCATATTAAAGAAACTTATGAATAAATTTAATCTTAGTTATAAAATTATGATTTGGATTATTTCTGTAATTTGTGCATTTTCTAATAACTTTTTGTTTAGAAAAATACTTCTATTCTCATCAAACTTGAAATTTTGAGAATATTCCTAAATCTCTATTTGATACTGACAAATTCATTTGGAATTATTAGTAAAATTTGAATCTAATTATAATTTGAAATTTTAATAATTTAAAATTCATGGACTGATTTTTATTTGAAATCAAGTTTTATAATCTCTTATTTAAATTTTGAAATATATAAAAACTGCATAAAACAAAATTTTTAATTAAGTTGTTATTATTTTGAGGATTTTTCCAAGACATGAAAACCTTTAAAAAGACTTGTAACATGATAAAACAAATTTAACTCATCTCTAAAAGTTTTATATTCTACCAGTTTATATTATATTCTACCAGTTTTATATTATTCTGTACTATAAAACTGGTGTATATATTATATTATATGAAACTATACTATATATGGGAAAATGTTTTTACTTAAAATAATTACGTTTGACCCAGAGAAGTCATTTTAAGTTGAGAAAAGATAAAGCTAGCAAATAAGATAAAGACAATATGGCATAGGCTGTCTTAAACACTTATTCATAATCTACTCAGCACTATTATACAAAAATTTTAATTTAAATATGAAAGAATTAAAAATACAATTTAAAAATTTATTTTAATTCCAAACATAACTCTATAGCAGTTTTTAATTTAGATTATTTTAAAACAATACAAAATTGGCTTTCATTGTTCTTGTTATACCATTACATAAAACTTGTATTTAAACTAATTAATATTATGATAAATATTTACATGGTTTTATATTTTTTGTTAAAATAATAATTAAGCCAGTATTGAATTATTTACTAATTCAGTATGATATTTTACTATCAAAATATTAAATTTAAAACAGCATATATACTATATAATTGTTTTATTTTTAACTTTGTTCATATTAAATTACACTTTCTGTAGTAGTAATAGTAGTAGTAGTATGGTTTTCAGTAAAGCCTTATTACAAAATTTCTTCTTGAAACTTTTTTAAACATTATGCACCTAACAAATTTGTTTGCACACCAATTTACATATTAATCTTTTAAAATCTTTTTTTAAGATGCTGAATAGCATTTGAATTTTATTATTGTTATTAATGCAGAAATTTGATATTTAAAAAGTGTAATTATATTATCAAATTGCTTATCAT